TCCATCCATCCATCCTTTCATTCACCCACCTACCCACCCATCTTGTCATTCATCCATTTGCCCCTTTGCCCCTTATCGGGAATCAAAGACGGCCTCCCTGAGGAAAGGACGGGATACGAAGTGGAGTGAAAAGTGAAACCGAACCAAACTCATTAGCAGCGAGTTGATTTCAACTCCTAGCGACCTCATGAGGGTGATTGAAATGAGGTGTATATTCTATTACCTTTCCAAAAAATTCAGTATGTAATCTGGCGTATCAATCCCTATGTGTAACAAATAAAAGGCAGACACAGTGTGGGTTCGTCAGCTGAGTGGAGACATAGCCACAGACCCGGTCTATGTGCAGGACAGCCAGCGGCTCCAGCCTCCACCACACTCCCTCCTGTGGGCTGTGGTGCAGAGACTCTCACGAGCACTTTGCCTCACCGACACTGGTGACTTGCTTTCTGGGAACCTCAAGTCGATGTCTGAAGTGACCGCAAGATGGCTATTCGGGAAGACCTTGCTGAAATGCACTGAATTGTGGCTGTGCCTCCAGAGAAGCTCAGGGTCAGCTCGTGTACCCTCAACATCAGCTGCATAGCCAGCGACTGTAGATAGGCTCTCTGATGAGCAGATAGGGCCCTGGCCATTCAGAAGCAGAATGTTTGCCTTCCAGGAGGAAGACCTGGGCTTGACTCCTGGCCAGTGCACCTCACGGGCAGTGACCACCTGTCTGTCAGTGGCTGGGTGTTGCTGTGATGCTACCACCAGTTTCCGTGGAGCTGCCAGCCTCAAATAGATTAGGGAGAAAGGCCTGGTGATCTGCTTCCAAATATTAGCCAGTGGAAGCCCCGTGGATCGCACTAGTCAGACCTGCAACTGATCGTGGGGACAACACTTGAGCAGGCAGCACTTCACCGGGTCGACATGCGTCAGGGACGCCACCACGGCAGCTAGCCACATGATGAACGAGGGACACCCAGCTTCTGTGTCCAAGAGGAGGGATCCTCACCTGGCCCGGTCTCACAGGTGACAGGGAACTGCTTTATCGGGGGCACCGAGGCGTTGCTGTAGTAGTCGGTGTCCAGGACCCACCAGTACGGCCGCTGTCCAAAGAGGATCCTGGCGAGAAGCGGAACCAGGGTCTGGAGTTACTGGATCGACCCTTTTCCCCAAAGATGGCGTCTTTGAGGGGAGAAGCTGCCCCCACCCCACCCCCCGGACCCTAAAGGGAACCCTTGGAGCCCCGCTGCCTCCAGGCAGGGGGACCGAGTGACCGGGAAGAGAGATGGGAGGGAGAGTGGTGATAGTACATCCTTTACCGAGCTTTTTTCAGATGGATTCTAAACCATCTGGACGTGCTACCTGCTCACACCTAAATAAATGCATGCAAGGTCCCCAAGTCCACATAAGTATGATGATTGACGTTTTGTCTCCTCTCAGCGCGAAGGAACAATGTGTCCTAGAATACCCTAAAGATGTACAACTGCAGCTGAAGCTGCAGCTGGCAGATGCGGTGAGTTCTCGCTTCCCTCCCTGGAGGCTTTCGGAATCCTGGGTTTCCTCGGAGGCCGTGCGTCGGCATCCAGGAGAAGCCGCGACCCCACTGGAAGGTTAAAGATGACCATGGCTCTAGAGGGTTGTGCTTGTCCTCTGTGGGTCGAAACAATAGCTCAGACGATCTACTTCCCCTGTAAAAGGGCTGACCGTTTCTCCCCATGGTGAGACAGGTGCCAAAAAGCCGTTGGAATGCCCTTCTACTGGGCTGTGGCCTCCCACCCAGCCCAGGGACAATGGACAATTCTGTCCCCCTAGACAGTGCGTTCATGGGTGTTCAGATGTTTGGAATAACATTGTATCTTTTATAGTCATGCTATTTAATAAGGAAATTATAGACAAAATGCCATAGCTTTGTTGCCAGTTTCAATATGCCATCAATATGCCTTTGGCTTTTGAGCTCAATGGTTTTTTTCCCTCCTTTTTAACTCTAAAGGGCTTTTGTTGGTTATGATCAAAGACCATTAAGGCGAGATCTGAAGATCTCTGCCCGTAAGTAGAAATCGTGGTAGGGATGGTAAAGGTCTTAGAGTGGACAGCGAACGTCTCAGAGAGGAGTCCCTGGTGACATGGGGCAAGGTCAGCAGCTCGAAGCCGCCAGCCTCCAGAGAAAGATGGGGCTTTCTACTCCCATAACGAGATACGGAGTTACCGTCTCGGAAACTCACAGGGCAGTCGTTCTACGCTGTTCTATAGGGTCGCTAAGAATCGCCATCAGCTCCGTGGCAGGGAGGCTCTTTTTCGGTTGAAAAGGTCTTAGAAAGCAGGTGGTCGCAAGAGCCGATTGTTTAGATTCAGAACTGGAAAGTGGACACAGTGGGGCTGTTTCCACCATGGGAACTGGCAGATGCTAAAGCCGGCACTTCCCCCTCCCGCCGGCCCCAGTTGATTGGCCAGCACTGACCACAACATAGTGCCCAAGAGCGTGGCTCGGAAGTCAGCTGGCCTGACTGCAACCCGGGCTCTTCAGCCGTTGAACTCAGCATCGGGGTCTCCACATCTGTCAAACAGTAGTAACTGCTTCGCAGAAGAGCACTCAGCCCACGTCAGGCACATGCTAAGTATCCATGAAATGCTAACTCTGATCATGCCTGAGGAGCCCTGCAGGTATAGCGATCGCCATCCAAAAGGTTAGCGAGTTCAAAACGGCCCACTGCTCCGTGGGAGAAGGACGAGGCTGTCTCCTCCCACAAAGAGCTAGTCTCAGAAACCCACAGGGGCGGTTCTACGCTGTCCTCTATGGTCCCGGTGAGTTGGCATTGACCCAATGGCACCGAGGGCTGTTTTTCTTAACGATAATCATGAAGGTCCCAGAGATCACGTAAGTTTGCAGATGATAAAGGAGAAACTCAGAGAGGGGCTGTGGCTGGCCAAGAACACAGAGCTAGCTGGTGGCACCGTCCTGTCCCGGGGTTCCTTTGCAGTCCCCACACAACAGGCTTTCCATGACCTTTTAAAAACACTTCTCACCTTGCATCTTTCTTCTTTCTTATATTTATCTTTATGATGCCTGTGTGCTTCAAAGTAATAAAATAATAAAACTATTTTTTTCCCTTAAACCCTGTAACTCGGACTTTTCATTAAGTCCGACTAATTCTGGACCCCAGCCGGTCCGTACAAAAGCATCTCTCCTGTATTTTCCACGCACTGACAGCGCTTTCCTGTGTCTTCCATGAGGGGCCCAGAGTCGAGGGGAGTGTGGCTTCCTGAGTCACACGAAGAGGGCAGTTTCTGGCGGACAGTCATGTCCAGGAGAAGGCCAGCCTCTTCCCTCGCTCGTCTCCTCTCGGTCTGGTTCTTACTCACCACTTAAAGACGAGGTTGAGCCAGTCTCCAATCACAGCCACCCAGAGGAGTCTGACACCCACGGCTTCTTGGAGATGGAACCATATGGGGAAGAGGACGTAGTAGGCGTTCCTCAGGTCTGCGACCACAGACACCAGGATGAACCAGCCCTGGGAGTCCTGGTAGTTCACCTGGAGGTAGTGTGTGGACCGGATGCCAAAGTCATGGAGAACATCCATGCTTGCCCCTAGCGTCATGCCCTTGGCCCCTCAGTCAGCCGCCAGCTGAGCCCTGGCAGTACTTCCAGGCTTGGTGGTAATGGCTCTGCTATCAGCCTGTGCCTTGCCCTGATTTTATACACCCTGCATTCAGTCGGCAGGTCAACCAGCCCTGATCTTTGGACTCAAAAACCACTTTTGGATCTATCGATCAAAGGTGCATGAACCAGTAGGTTGATGCGAACATGTTTGGGGCGATTTACGTAAAATAGAAAAACAGGCACACAGAAACAGCTTGCTCTGCCATGTCCGCAGCAGAGCCAATGATTAACTTGGGCATGCTGCTTGACAGCACAGGGGCTGCCCTCTTGGTCTCCCAAACCAGGCCAGAGACCAAGAGTCTAATGCCACTGGGGTTCTTGCAAGTCGTCTGGTTTCTTACCGTCTGCATTGGCACATGTTTGGGAACAGAGAGGGCCTTGGTGATGGCCCCATGCGCTAAGCATTCATGTCTCAGGGAACGCATTCTACGGTATCATTTAAAACCAACTCTGTCATCCTGGGAGCCTTCGGCCTGCTGGTCCTTCCTTAACCTCACTTGGTTCTAGGAAACGCGTCTGCTTCGGAAGATAAGGCTCACTTTCCAGAATTGGCCCCTATCGCTTAGGGCCAGACAATGCTCGTTTGTGAATGTGCACCAGCTCCTTTGAAGTTCTTAAAGTTAGGGCCTTCGGGTGTTGATATTATGTGGAAGTATAAGCAATATCACGAAAGCGTGTTCATGGAAAAATGATACAAGTGGGTGGTCCTAAATAGGAG